AATGTACCATCTCTTTTCAAGAAATTTGGTACCAGTCTGTACCATTTCTAAAAGTACCTCAGTTGACTGTGTTTTGTTAGTTAAAGTGGTCGTATCCTTTTTCAGATTCTCAACCTCTTTCTTAAGAAGCCTGGAATCAGTCTGTAAAGACTGTACCATTTCTAAAAATGCCTCATTCTTAGCCCTATTGCCAAACCATATTATTAAGAAAAAATATTGAGGACAAGACTAATCCCCAGAATCAAAAGTAGTGATGTAGAAGGGACATCATATAAGTCTTGTAAAACCTTGCACATGGTGTAAGTAAAGAGGTTATTGAAATTTTGGAAGGTTAGGTTGTCTGACATATTCCCCTTTTGAATTAGCAACTTATAATCTATATTTAGGATATAAAACCTTACCTGTGGTTTAATTAGCTGGATTAGGTAAAATAACCCTAACCTGCCAATAGGTGTTGCGAGCCACCTACAAAATTAACCCAGCTGGGCCCACACACTTGGAGTCACATGACTGGTTTGAATCTTATTTTAGCATGAAATTCTGAAAGAAAAGCTTAGATCAAAAAATTAGTTATTGATAGAAATCACTAGCTGTGTGTACTGCAGTGGACCCTGATTGGTCAGCAGCTGCAGGAGCATAGGAATAACAAGACAACAGCAGGCACTCAGAAAAGCTCATATCTTGTCTGAATTTCCACTCAGTGTGTGGTGGCAGGAGGACTGGAAGCTGCTCTGAAGCAAGTAATGAGATAATATAAAGAACCGTGGCTGACCTGCTGCAAGAAGAGCTGCCGTTTCATGAGAATTCTGTCTCCAAATGAACTGCTGGCTCCATGCACACTCCGAGGCTGGCTAAGGGAGGGCTCACGCCTAGCTGGGCACATTCCATGCTGGCAGCAGGTAGCAGAGCCGGGGCAGTTCTAAAACCAAACATTGGGTGCCAGATAAAGGTGTAAGTTACATAACAATCCCACACCAGTTCAGAATTATGGATAATAAAAGGGTTATTTATTTAAGGGGAAAACTTAAAGATCACTGTCCTAGACAACAGTCTTCTGAGCAAACACGAACAGAGTCTAGCATCTGGAATTGGGAGCAAGAAGCAAGAGAGCAGGTACATGGTTACCAATGCTTTTTTCAGTATAAAAGACCATGCCCAAGTGGGTTGGTATCTTAAAGGCTATAGGCTGAAGAAACAGAATGTGCTCCCACAACACACATGCGTGCAGGCACACACACACACGTGTCTGTCTGTCTTTCTGTCTGTCTGTCTGTATGTATGTATGTATATCTGGTATATAGAGCAAGTTCCAGGGCAGCTAGGGCTGTTCCACAGAGAAACCCTATCTCTAAAAACAAAAACAAATAAACAAAAAACAACAATACCCTCATTCCCAAGAGGTGGGGTGGGTGGTTTTTGGTTGTTCAATGGGATATGAATATTTGTCATTGTGTAGGGGGATTGATTACATGTTGCTATTGGTAATCGTCAGGAAAAAAACTGAACAAAGATTACATTCAGGGCTTTTGTTCTGAAAAGAAAAAGGATGAGCATTGAAGTAGGATAAAAAGTTAGATTATTGAATCTGCTTTTAAACCAAAAAAGCAATTGCCACTTTTAAATATATTATATTGGCTTATGTTTTTGTATATTGATGCAAAATTTTGGGTATTTTGTTATACTGTGTATAGGTTATATGAATGTTGGAATAAAAAGGTAGATTATTGAGTTCACTTTTAAACCAAAAAAGAAACTACTAGTTTTAAATATTTTACACTGATATGGATTTTTGTATGTTGATACAAACTTAAGGTTATTTTTGTAAGAACATACTGTGCAGAAGTTTCTAGTGTTGCTCACTTAAAACCAGAAAGCAAGTTTCTAGTTCCTCAAAGTTACAAACTATTTAGCATAACAAAAGAATGCAGGTTAAGAGTGACTTATTACAATCAAACTTTTAGCTATACTAGGTATGATTTTTATGTCAAACACAAATATAATTTACATAGACAGGTGGTCTCCAAACACTTCAGAGATCTATAGAATATGACATTTAAGATATTTTAATCGTATAAGGTTTGGGGGCTGCTTTTTGCTTTTTGTTTTGATTTTTTGAAACAAGGTTTCTCTGTGTAGATTTGGTGCCTGTCCTGCCGATATTTTTTCTTGCCTAATTTCGGAAATCACTATGTTCTCCCCCTATTTTCTCTCTCTCCAGTACATGCTAGGCAAGTGTTCTACTGCTGAGCTGCATCCCCAGCCCCTAAAGATGCATTCTCATTGCTGGTTTCCTGTTAATGCTCTGTAGGAGCAGGGTCACCTGTGCCGCTACTGTCTACTTTACCTTCATTATCCTCTGAATAGGACCTGTGCCTCCCAGGATTCATGTACTTGTCCAGCTGGAGGAACAAGCCTGGGTGACTGAAGGGGCAGATGTGACCCCAGGTCTAGCAAGGCCACCCTGGGGGAGGGCTAGCTCTGGCAAGAGAAGAGTGAGGGTGGTTGTGTGTCAGGGCTGGCTTGTGATTGGCACTAGAACACCCCCCACACCATTAGTATTTCTTACCAGGATGGAGCCGTGACTCATTTCGTTCTTTCAGCACCCATTTCTTACATTTTGTGGACTTCCCAGATCAATTCTGGCTTTCGGCTTGGGTGTTGTCTCACAACAAACTATCTACTCAGTGTGGTATGGGATGCCTACGTAGTCTGTGGGCCTGTTCTCAGTTGCTGTTTCATTTCCTGGGTTTGATGGACCCTAGCATCTCATCAGTGCTCACACCCCATCAACAGAAAAGCCTTGTTGAAAGCCATCTGCAGAGAAGTGAGTCAAAGACCACCTGACCTTCCTGAAATGCCTACCATCACTGTCTTAGCCCAACTGTGAAGCTCCCTGTGTGTGACATGACCATGGTCAATATAACAGAAGTTTTCTCATGGAAACTTTTGCCGTTATCCATTAAAGAGTGTCATGTACAGATTCTTAGAAGTGCAAGACTCGTATTTTTAGTAGGGCCATTTCCTCCCATGTTTCCATTTCCTTCGATATTTTCTATTCTCAGGTTTCTGATTTCAAGTGGAGACCGAGGCATATTTTCAAAGAGGATCAAAAGTCAAGGTCACCACAGCAGATTATGTCCTCCAGAAATCCTACCCTGTGGGATGTGTGGCATTGTCATGAATCATCTTGCTCTGCAGGCTGAACAGCAAGGTTACATTCCCAACAGACTGCATACGTGTGGGATATGTGGAAGGCAGTTCTCCTTCAGGGTAAACACCTCCCAAACCCAACACAGTAGAAGGAAAGGTTTCAGTGACAGCAAAGACAAGGATCCCTGTGTAAGAACCACACAGTCTGCAGTGCAGAAATCCCTTAGCTATGTGAAGAGGGTAGGGGAAACTCAGGTCTTCTACACCATGAGATCAGAAGAAGCTTACCTGCACAATATGGGTGCTGGGGACCCCTCTCAGTGGAGGTGAACATTGAAGATGCAGTGAACGCAGGAAATATTCAGCCACAAAAATGGGCTTCCTAAGCACCAGAGTATCCAGACTGCAGAACAGCCCTATAAGTGCCCTGAATGTGAGAAACGTTCATCAGACAGTCCCATCGTGTCAGGCATAAGAAAGCTCACACTGGAGAAAGGCTCTCTGCATGTCATGAATGTGGAAAAACCTTCAGCCAATGATATTTCCTTGTTCGGCATGAACAGTTCCACCCTGGGCACAGCCCATATTCCTGCAGCAGATGTGGGTAAGCTTATCACAGCCAATACTTACTTCTTCATCATGAGACAGTGAGTTCACCATGTGTGGCAAGTTCTTCAGCCAACACTCTGGCCTTATTGTGGATCAGAGAGGGGTACACAATGTAGCAGGTGCCAGTGCATGCAATAACTGTGGGGAATGCTTTAGCCAGAATTCTGACCTTGCCATACACTGCACAGTTCACATCACTACACCCCCACCCCAGGCCAAGCTTTATAAATCAGTGAATGTGGGAGAGCCTTCAACTACCAACACAGACTTCATCACCATCTGTAGTGATGAAGAAGGCAGGCCTGCTTTTCATCCTGCTTGGCTCCAGCATGGTTAGCTTTACACCCGAAATAACAACACACAAATTGTACTCTTTTAAACACTGCTTGGCTCAAGTTCTAGCCTCTTATCGGCTAATTCTCACATCTTGATTAACCCATTTCTAATAATGTGTGTAGCACCATGAGGTGGTGGCTTACCCAGAAAGATTCAGCATGTCTGACCTGGTGGCTTTCTCCATGGTGTCTCTGACCCAGAGCGGAGAGGCATGGCGATTGCCTAACTTCTCTTCTTCCCAGCATTCTGTTCTGTTTACTCCACCCACCTATGTTCTGACCTATCAGGCCAAGCAGTTTCTTTATTAATTAATCAATGAAAGCAACAGATAGACAAATGACCTTCCCACATCAAACATCAGCAAGGTCACACTAACAAGGCTTCATGAGTGTACCGGCTGTGGCAAAGCCTTTAGCAGGAAGTGCAGACTTGTTGAGTATCATAAAAATCCACACTACAGGCAGTGTCCATGAATGCAGGGAATGTGGAAAAAGAAATCAGATTCTGTTAAAGATGCCTATGGGTCATGATGTGGTTCCTGGGAACTGAACTCGGACCTTCCGGAAGATCAGCCAGTGCTCTTATCCACTGAGCCATCTCTCTAGCCCCTTCTCCCCCGTTATAATCCCTCCTCTCCTAAAGGCCCATCCCAGTGTTCACTGACTGATTTTACTATAGATTTGTTTTCCTCTTTCAGAAGTTCATGGAAATAAAATAAGTGTCTTTGTTTCCTATGTGACCATAAAGATTTCTCCATTAGAATATGAGTTCTTGACTGATGTATTATAAGACAGCTCTCTCCTGAAACATTGTCCATAGTTTGTTCATTTGTTAAGGGACAATTAGATCATTCGAGTTTGGACTGTTCCAAATGAAGCTGCTATGCACATTTCCCTCTTAGTGTCTTAGTTAACATCCATGCCGCGGACTGACTCTCTTGGAGATGGAAGACCGAGGGAGAACAGGGGTGAAGGCTTAGGAGAACCCAGGATTCGGCGAATGACAGACAGACACAACTCTAATGAGATTTGAATCTGCTGCAACTTTACTAAAATTTAAGCATCACTTTTAAGAGATTACAGAAGGAAGTTGGCAGACATAAAAGTTTCCATAGAAAAATGATTACAGACAATTGATTATTCTTAACAAGTCTTGTGGTCAGGGCCAGGTGGGCAGAGCTTTTCTTAGAAATTCGTCTCACACCATTAACTAACTGTGCTTCCTCATGGCCCTAAATCATATCTGCCCTCAAGGTAACCAAGGTAACCCAAACACCATTCTTCAACTGTGCTTCCTCATGGCCCTAAATCATATCTGCCCTCAAGATAACCAAGGTAACCCAAATACCATTCTTCAGGATTCCACCCCCAGGGTTTGTTCCAATATTGAATGTCTGACTTCATGTTATCAAGAATAGCCTGCCTTTCTTTCCTATCTAAAATGCACCAGGGATTTCTCATTCTGGCTAGCCTTTCCATAAATAGTAACTCATGCCATTCCATACATTTTCCTTCATAATTTGCCCATCTTCTACCAAATCTCCTATCATGAGCTCTTTCTGTTTTAGGGTATCTGTAAATTCCCCCAGAGAGCGAGCCAGAGTCTTTTTTTTTTTTT